GGGATGTTCCAGCTGGGTGCAGGGATGAAGTAGAGGCTCCAGTCGGGACTGCGGGGTGTCCTCACCACCATCAACTTCACGTCCCCATCTCAGCTCCTCCGTTGCAGGTGCGGGTGGTCAGTGATGGCATCCAAGGTGCACATGGCAGCGCCCATGTGCCTGGTGGCGAACACCCCGGAGCAGGGCTTGGTGCTGCAGCAGGAGACCCTGCAGGTGCTGTTGGGCATCACCGAGCCCGTGGTGGTGGTGGCCATCGTGGGGCCCTACCGCAGCGGCAAGTCCTACCTGGGCAACAGGCTGCTGGGCCACAGAGGAGGTGAGGGGGGTCCCAGACGTCGACCTGGAGCTTCCTCCTCCGTGTCCGACCCCATTGAGCTCCGCTGTGTCCTCCCCACAGGCTTCTCCGTTGGCTCCAGCGTGCAGGCTCACACCAAAGGGATCTGGGTTTGGTGCGTCCCTCATCCCCTCCAGCCCGGGCTTACGCTGGTGCTGCTGGACACCGAAGGGTTGGGAGATGTGGAGAAGGTGGGTGAGGAGCAGGAGGTCCGTGTGTGGAGCCTCCAGTGGCGCCAGGGGAGGTTCAGATGGAGACTGGGAGCAATTCCTTGCCCAGAGGGTGCTCAGGCCTTGGAACAGGCTGGAGGTGTCCACACACCGTGTAGGTGATGCCCTCAGTGCCAGGGGTTAGTGGTGGCCTTGGAGTGCTGGGAATGTTGGACTTGGTGAGCTTAAAGGTCTTTTCAACCTGGTGGATTCCATGATTCCATGATTCTATTATTCCATGACTCCATGAATCTATGATTGCATGATTCCATCATTCTATTATTCCATGATTCTATGATCCCACGATTCTATTGTCCCACAATTCTCTCATTCCATGCCTCCGTGACTGTGATTCCACGATTCTGCTGTTCCTTGATCCTACAATTCCATGATTCCATTACTCCGGGATTCTATGATTCTCGGATTCCATCATCCCGGAGTTCTAAACATTCCCAGCACTTTGTGGACAGTCCTGAGGGGCCAACCCCAGTGAGCAGGCTCCCGACGTTCCCACCACGGATGGAGCTCTTCAGCCTGTGTGCTCCAGGGAGCCAGATCCATGGGGAAGCAGGTTGGGGAGGACAAGGTGCAGCAGCAGCTCCGGATGGACCTGTGGGGCTAAGCTGGGGACCAGCCCAGCTACAGAAAGCCAGGAGGTGGCCTGGACCTCTCCATGGGCTGTTGGTTCCATGGGGACATTTGGGGTTTGGGATTTGGGGGGTTCTTGTGGCCAAGAGCCGGTGGTGGTTGTTCCAGGGCGACGCCGTGAATGACACGTGGCTCTTCGTGCTCTCCATCCTGCTCTCCAGCACCCTCATCTACAACAGCAGAGGCACCATTGACCAACAAGCCTTGGACCAGCTGCAGTATCCTTGGTGGGACACCAGTGACAAGGGGCTGGTAAAGCCCAGGTCCTCACACAGCTCCTGAGCTTTGGGTCCTGAGGAGCTGCGGACCTCAAGGCTGAGGAGATGGTGCTTGGAGCCAGGCTGAGGGAGCTGGGGTTGTCCAGCCTGGCCAAGAGGAGGCTCCAGGGAGACCTTAGAGCAGCTCCGGTGCCTAACGGGGCGCCAGGAGACCTGGAGAGGGGCTTTGGACAAGGGATGGAGGGATGGGATGAGGAGGAACGGCTCCAGCTGGAAAAGAGAAGAGTTGGGTGGGATGTTGGGAAGAAGTTCATTATGAGGGTGCTGGGACACTGGGATGGGTTGAATGGAGAAGGTTTGGATGAACCAGCCCCGGTTGGACGCAGGGGCTTGGAGCAACCTGCTCTAGTGGAACTAGACGAGCCTTAAGGTCCCTTCCAGCCCATCCCGTGCCCCCTCCAGGCTGCTCCGTCCCATCGAGGTGGTGGTGGGCTCCCTGTCTCCTTAGCAGCTCCGTAGCTACGTGGTGAAGCTGAGCGAGCACATCAAGCTGAAGGCAGTGCCCACAGCGGGTGAGGTGGAGGAGCCGGAGAAGTTTGTCCTCTTCTTCCCAGCTTTCATCTGGGCCGTTCGGGATTTCACCCTGTGCCTGGAGAAGGATGGGAAGGAAATCACCGAGGACCAATACCTGGAGGAGGCCCTGAAGCTCAAGGCTGGTAAGTGGAAGGTGATGGAGAGATGCTGGGGACACGTCCAAGCCCAGGCACATCCAGTGGGACCCAGACGTGCTGATCTGCTCCCGTGGCCTCCTCCACCCCAGAGGGCAGCCCGAGGAGCGAGCACTACAACCAGCTCCGGGAATGCATCCGCCGCTTCTTCCCGCATCGCAAGTGCTTCACTTTTGAGCCGCCGGGAAACAGGAAGAACCTGGAGCACTTGGAGCAGCTGGAGGACAAGGAGCTCAACCCGGAATTCCAGCAGCAAATGGAGAAGTTCTGCAGCTACATCTGGGAGGAGGCTCCACCTAAAACCATCCCTGGTGGCCACATCGTAACGGGGAGCAGTGAGTGCTCCTGGGGCTCGTGTCTGGGGAAGGAGCAAGTGATGAGGGAGGGATTTTGCTGCTGGATGATGGCCCTGCCTCTGGGTTTGGAGCTTCTGGGTGTTGCAGGTGGGGTGGAAAGAGTTAGGAGAGACCAAGCTGTGTGGTTGGGTTGATATGATGGAGGGAAGGGTGGGATCCAGAGGGAGCTGGACATGCCGGAGGGGTGGGACTATGAGGATCTCATGGAGCTCAACATAGCACATGGGACCATCCCAGGCTATAGGATGGGTGAAGTGGTTCAGAGCAGCCTGAGGAGAAGGATTTGGGGGTGTTGGGTGAGGAGAAGCTCAATGGGACCCATCAACACCCCCCCACGTGTCCTGGGCTGCATCAAGCGTGAGCAGCTCCTGCCCCTCTGCTCTGCTCTGCTGACACCCCACTTGGGTGCTGCACCCAGCACTGGGGTCCTCAACATCAGGAGGCGACGGAGCTGCTGGAGCAAGGCCAGAGGAGGCCACGAGGATGAGCAGGGGCTGCAGCAGCTCCCATTGGAGACGTTGGGGCTGGAGAAGAGAAGCTGCTGGAGAGCTCAGAGCAGCTTCCAGGGGCTGCAGGGATGTGGAGAGGGACCTTCAGCAGTGATAGGACAAGGGGTGATGGGTTCAAACTGCAACAGGGGAGGTTCAGGTTGGAGATAAGGAGAAGTTCCTCACTCTGAGGGTGGTGGGATGCTGGAACACGTTGCCCAAAGAGTCACAGAACCATAGAACCAACCAGGTTGGAAAAGACCTTTATGATCATTAAGGTGCTGGATGCTCCATCACTCAAGGCCGGGCTGGAGCCACATGCTCTGGTGGGAGGTGGAACCAGATGATGGGCTTTTCCAGCCCCAGCCTCCATGGGAAGAAGGGGACCCCTGACTCCCTCCTGTCCCCTCACCTTGGCAGTGCTGGTGGAGCTGGTGGTGTCCTTCGTGGGCGCCATCCGGAGCGGGGTGGTGCCGTGCCTGGGCAACGCGGTGCTGGCCCTGGCGCAAGTGCAGAACGCGGCGGCGCTCAAGGACGCTCTGGGCCGGTACCGGGAGCTGATGGAGACGAGGGTGAAGCTGCCCACGGCCACGGCGCAGGAGCTGCAGGACCTGCACGCCCAGTGCAGGAGGGAGGCGCTGGAGCTCTTCATGGAGCGGGCGTTCGAGGAGGACATCTGCCTCTTCCAGAAGGACCTCATGGTAGGAGACCATCATCCTCTGGGCTCTGGGGAGGTGGGGCCATAGGGCCATGGGTGGTGGAACCATAGGGCCATAGGAGGTGGCACCATAGGACCATAGGAGGTGGAACCGTAGGGCCATGGGTGGTGGAACCATAGGGCCATAGGAGGTGGCACCATAGGACCATAGGAGGTGGAACCGTAAGGCCATGGGTGGTGGAACCATAGGGCCATAGGAGGTGGAACCGTAGGGCCATGGGTGGTGGAACCATAGGGCCATAGGAGGTGGCACCATAGGACCATAGGAGGTGGAACCGTAAGGCCATGGGTGGTGGAACCATAGGGCCATAGGAGGTGGAACCGTAGGGCCATGGGTGGTGGAACCATAGGGCCATAGGAGGTGGCACCATAGGGCCATAGGAGGTGGAACCGTAAGGCCATGGGTGGTGGAACCATAGGGCCATAGGAGGTGGCACCATAGGACCATAGGAGGTGGAATCACAGGTCACCTGTGGAGATGCTGCTCTGGAGCCAGGCTGAGAGAGCTGGGCTGGGGCAGCTGGAGAAGAGAAGGCTCCTGAAGGGGACACCTTAGAGCAGCTCCAGTGGCTAAAGGGCTACAAGAAACCTGGAGAGGGGCCTTGGACAAGGGATGGAGGGATATGATGAGGAGTAACTGCTTCCAATGGGAAGAGGGAAGACTTAGATGGGATCTTGGGATGAAGCTCTTCCCTGTGAGGGTGCTGGGACAATGGGATGGGTTCAGTGGAGAAGGTTTGGATGCTCCATCCTTGGCAGTGTTCAAGGCCAGGTTGGAGCAACCTGCTCTATGGAAGGTGTCCCTGCCCATGGGGCTGGATGAGCTTTAATGTCCCTTCCAACCCAGCCCATCCCATGATTCCATGTCCTGATTTCCACCGGGCATGAGAGCAGTGGATTATGAAGCCGAGGTTGGTCTTTCCCTCCTCACAGCATCAAGTAGAGGGAATGTTGGAGAAGTTCCACACGGACAATGAGCAGATGTCCCAGGACAAGTGCACGGATGCTCTCAGGGACCTCTACCAGGACGTGGAGACAAGGATCAACAGCGGTTCCTATGGCATGGTGGGGGGTTACCAGCGTTTCAGAGAGGACTGCGAGGAACTGGTGAAGAAATACCAGGAGCTGCCTGGCAAAGGGGTGAAGGTAGGAACAGCAGCAGCTCCTCATGCGTGTCCCATCCCCTTCCCTAAGGAGCCACTCCTGCTCCTCCTCCCCTTGACTCCTCGTCTCTGCCTGTGGCCTTTCAGGCTGATGATGTCCTGGAGAAGTTCCTCCAGAGCAAAGAGGATGTTGCCAAAACCATCCTCCACATGGACAGCTCCCTGACGGAGAAGGAGAAGCAGAAGCAAAGTAAGCTCTGGGCTGAGACCGGCCACTGCTGGGTGCTGAGCACCCCTTGAGGGGCTCACGTCCTCAGCCCCTGCCCTGGCGCCACCTCCGTGTCTCTGTCACCAGCTCAGCAGGACGAGTACGAGCGAGCCATGCGGGCGATGGAGATCCGGATGAAGCAGGAGGCTGAATCCAAGCAGAAGCTGCAGGACCAGGCACGTGGCTACCAGGAGTACACGCTCCAGCTGCAGAAGAAGCTGGATGGATGCTACCAGAAGAAGCTGGATGAGAACCTCCAGATGATCAACCACAAGTTAAAGGTACCCAGGGGGAGGAGAACATGGGTCCATGGGGTGGCACTTAAGGGGGTCCCATCTGGGTCCCTTCTCTTGCTCCTGGGGCTCACTGTGGCTTCGCAGGAGAAGGACATGTTGCTCAAGGAAGGCTTCTTGGAGAAAGCCATGGGCCTGAGCGCGGTGGCCCGTAGGCTGGATGATGAGAGCCACATCCATTCCGCCACCAAGAGGAACACCATCGAATTCTGGTTGAACATCATCCTGTCCCTCCTGACAAACGTGACACTCGCCGTTCTCCAGTACTTCAGCTCATCCAGATCCGCTCCTAAGCACTTGTAGGAACCAGGCGAGGTCCGTGGTGCCTATGGGCAACCATAGGCCAGAATGATGGCATCAACCAGCTTGGAGAAGACCTTTAAGCTCATCACATCCTCCCTTTACCGCAGCACTGCCAAGGTCACCACTGACCCGTATCACTGCGGGCCTCGTCTACGCGGGTTTTGACCACAAACTGGGAGGATCTGGCTTTCCTTTAGGATCTGGCTCGGGAAACGGTGCTTGGAAGGTGCACCCAGTGTCAAGAGGGGCTTTGGAAGGGGCTCAACTCACTGTAGGGGCTGTTGGTGGTTGTTTTGTGCTGCTCCTCAGAATAAAAGCCCCAAATTCCTGGAGATTTGGCTGAAATATGGATTTTTCCCACTCTTCCTTTTGGGATTTGCTCTGAAAGGGGCCAATCTTGAGCCTAGAAGCTGAAGCGGACACAAGGAGCCGCGTGTTCACGTTGGACGGGTGCAGATCGGGTCCAAAAGAGGTGAAAACGGGATGAAACCCCCCGAAGCATCCTTGTCAAGGTGGTATTTTGATGTACGTGGGTGCTTTTGGGTCCTTCATTCCATTGGAGGTGGGGTCAGCAGCACAAGTCTCCTCTTTAGCCCTTAAGCTGGGGCCTGGCTGCACCATCTCCTTTTCCATGAGGAGAACATCATGGAAACATCCACCCATGAGGCTGGAAGTCAGGAGGTGGAGAGGGGAACATCTGGGGTTCCAAAGGAAGAGGATGAGGATGATGTTGGGTGGCCACGGCAGCACCACCCAGAGCTGTGTTCAATGCACAGAGAGGTTCTGCTCAATGATGGACCTACAGAGGCTTGTATGAAAGTTATGGGGGTGGAAGGTTGGGCTTTTCCCTCGTCATTTGGGTGTGGAGAGGGACCTTCATCACAGATTGGAGCGATGGGACAAGAGGTGATGGGTTCAAACTGGAACAGGGGAGGTTCAGTTGGAGATAAGGAAGTTCTTCACTGAGGGTGCTGGGACACTGGGATGGGTTGAAGGGAGAAGGTTTGGATGCTCCATCCCTGGCAGTGTTCAAGGCGCATCTCTTCGAGCATCCTGGTCTAGTGGAAGGTGTCCCCCTCCCTCATCATGCCATGGTTTAATGGTGGGGTAAAGGTTGGACTTGGTGCTCTTGAAGGTCTTTTCCAACCTGGTTGATGCCATGATTCCAGGATTCCTCTTCCCTCTGTTCCCCACCCTCCATCACTCAAACCTCAGCCCTATCCCTCCTAATGGACCAGAAGAAGACAAGGGGCTAAAAAGCGTCTACGTGAAAACAAGGGACTTTATTTAAGATCAGGCCAACTTCAATGTGCGTGTTGAGGAGCAGGACAAAGGTCCCGGCCACTGATGTTGCTCCTCAAGTCTTCTTCCCCCTTAGAACCTGCAGCAGCTCCTGCACCCGACTGAAGAAGTCCACCAGCTTCTGGAACGGGAACGGGCAGGAGCCGCCCATGCTGGGCGCCGTTGGGATTGGCGCTGTCTGCTGGATGGGAGCGTAGGATGAGTGGAAGTGGGTCCATGCGCGGGGGGTCGTGGTGGCTCCCGCGGAGCGGAGCAGCCCCAGCTGAAAGAGGATCCAGTCGTGGAAGGCCTGGGTTGAG